TATGCTAGCCCACCGTGTGACTCAAGTTACACAAACCTGGTTTCACATTCTAACCTTCTAACCTCACATACTGTAGATAATTTAGAATAGAATTCATTGGAATTCCTGTGTAAAAGTTTTAAATATAAAAACAAACAAACCAATCTTGAAAGTGCAGAAGCAACTGTTTACACCAGGGGTGCCCAATAATAGATTGTGATCGACCAGTAGGGAGTGCTGGTAGGTCATGAGCAATAAAATTAATAATAAAAAAAATAATTACTAAAATTCTGTAGTTTGTAGTAGTGACCACATACTGTAAGATTGTTGTTCAGTTTATATGACTACATATATATTTTATGTTTTTCAAATATACAGTATACACCCCGGTTTACACAAGTCATGTGTCTTTGTTGACATAGAGAATGTTCAGGATTAGATCGGTCGACTTTTTTTTGTCTTGGACCAATACCTACAGTATCCTAAGTATCGGATTGTCCTTAATTAAATGTGTAGTAGATACTAGTTCTTTGGTCACTCCTCTTAATTTCCTCATGTTTTCAATGACCTCATACTGTACACACTAATGTTTTCATCACTCTTGGAAGAATTGTTTTGTTTTTATTATTTTACATGTGTCTGTGTTGCACAAATTAAGTTTTTTTTTTTTTTGATATTCCTCAGCCTGCACCAATAACAATAAAGGTAATTTTTTTTAGCATCACTTGGTTGAAACAAGTTGTGTAGCATATTTACCTCTGAGTGTCGACGTGTCTTTGTCCATTTCTGGCTAAGGAGTTACGCTTCCCCTGCATTATCCTGCCTGATATCAATATTAGTCATGGAAGGCTTTCTCGTTCTTATGTTTCAAAGAAGAAAAAAAAACTTTGTCAAACCCTTTTTTTGGGCACCTTCCATTTCTAATAAATTCAGAAACCTCTAAGTCAGTAGACTAGAAACCCATTTGCAGCTGATTAATGCTAGATTCCCTTCGTTCCGATCCTGGATTTAACATTCATTTTAAGTCCAATAATTGTTGATTTTCTGTGTTCTTGTGTTGTAGCTCGCAAGCAGGAAATCATCAAAGTCACTGAGCAGCTGATTGAGTCCATCAACAATGGAGACTTTGAAGCCTATGCGTAAGTTTGATGCTTGATGTTTTATGCAGTAATAATGACCTGGACAGACAGCAGGGGGCGATACAATAAATCAGTCATATTGTTGTTTTGTTTGTGTGTGTGTTGCAGGAAGATATGCGACCCTGGTCTAACAACCTTTGAACCTGAGGCGTTGGGCAACCTGGTGGAGGGACATGACTTTCATCGCTTTTATTTTGAGAATGGTCAGACCTGAAATCTAACATTTCATATTTAGTGCAATATTTCATTTTAGCCAGACGTCGTTAAAGGTCGACTGTTTGGTAGCGTGACAGAAAGCTGGGGGAGAAATCATGTAGAAACTTGAAGAACTAGAGTTTGTCGAACTTGCAGTCCTTCTAAGATCTGAATAGGAACATCTGTTGTCCACAGCATTGCTTACTTTGAGCCTGATGCTCTCATTTTTCTAATGGATTAGTTCCTTGCCCTGAAGCAGAGTAAGAAAACTTCCTGTGTCTCAGGGCGGACTTGTTAAATTTAATGTCCTGTGAAATAGGTCAAAACCCTGTCCCTGGAAAACATGCAGTACTGTAAGTAGAATTTATATGTAGATGGTAATATACCCTACAGTACTGCAGTACAGTGCAATATATCAACAACTAACAAAGCCAAAGTATTGAGTATACATACGAGTGTAAAGTGTGTATTAATATGAGCTACATTTTCAGTTCCAGTTCAGTGGTTCTGTAGGAGAGTCTGTGCATGTTCTCACCCTACAGCACAAAACCACTAATGAATAATTACTGCTATACATAGCAGAGCGTCTTCTGCCCCTGTAAAAATAGACCAAACCGACCAGATATGTCCTAGAAACCTCCATCCTGTGGCAAATCTAAGCCTGTCCAACATATTGGACATTGGTTGTTTTCATCCAGTTCAAGTTGTTAATGCTCCTGGGGTGGAGTTTCCTTCAGGTGCAGCCATTTATTTGTCTTTAGTCAGTCCTCAGTCAGTCGCTGTGTTTTATTTGCAGCTCTGTCTAAAGGTAATAAGCCGGTGCACACCATCCTGTTGAACCCGCACGTGCACCTAATTGGAGAAAATGCGGCGTGCATCGCCTACATCCGACTGACCCAGTACATGGACACCAGCGGCATGCCCCGCACCATGCAGTCGGAGGAGACCCGTGTGTGGCACCGCCGCGACGGCAAGTGGCAGAACATCCACTTTCATCGCTCTGGTTCACCGAGCATCCCTTCTCAGTAAGAGACAGTAAGAAATGGAATGTCTTCATTTAAACTGATTCAATTCACATCAGGGCTGAAAAGAAACTTTAAAAAAGCTTTAACTAAATAACCTTGTAGGTTTAAGAGTTTCGTTAGTCAACTGGAGATGAAATTTTCTCAAAGAAGACATTTCGCCTCATCCAAGAAGCTTCTTCAGTTCTAGCTGGTGGTGGGGAGTACAGTAGTTGTAGTAGTACCTAACTACAGTACCTTGTTGTCTACTGATTTTTGTAGAAAAGTAAACAATATGTTGAGTAGTTTATTCTATACCTATTATTCTGGAATATTAGAAAAGGTTTAGCTGTAATCTGTGGATGTGACCGTATTATTTTACTGAACCTTAACAAGATCGACTTTCTCTTTGGTCCAAAATCAGACTTTTTATTGATTCAAGATTAGATGAGATAGATTCCTGATTTATACTTCCTGGAAATTCCTTCTTTGCTCAGAACACTTTGGTTCACAGTATTACGAACTGAATCCAAGCTAAAAACACTAGTACTGTAGGACAAACGTGCTTATGTTATGTTGTCTGTCCAGAAAGATATGTATGCTATAGTTGAGGTGAGATGTTACCTCAAGATCTCACCTCTCCGTCCAAGCACAATAGAAATAATAGTAGATCACTGTAAAGACATGGTGATCTAACATGTCGACCTCAGATTTAGCTGTAGAAAATGAATGGAGGAAACGGCCTAAAATAGCTGACTCTTCAGGTATTTAGAGTGAGAGACGGTTGACTTGTCAGGACGAGTTATTGTAAAAACTCCTGCGTTGTTGCACATGTGCCGTCAGAGGACGAGGACCGTCAGAGGTTATTAAATACAACACCAATAATGAATATAATCAGAGAGGATTATGTGGTACCACCTGAAGGTGAAGCACGACATGTAAGATAGGCCGAGTTAGAAAACGAAATATCCTCTGCGGGTGTGTCATAGTGCGCAGTATTTCCATGAGTGTTTCCAGGAAGATCCACGAAGGTATTTGCTTCAGGGTCTTTCAGTGTTACAGTCAACTTCCTACATGTGACTCATATGAATATTCTTACTGTATGTGTGCGGACACAATACTCTACCTCAATGACTGAACTGAATATGACTCAGTAAAGAATTTCATTATAATGATTTATGTTCTCTATTTCTCTTGTTGCAGTTAATGGAAAATCAACAAGTAGATCAGTCGACCACCGACCTCTTACTGCTGTCTATAAGTACATGACACTGCACAGGACACAAGTATTCTTACATTATACTGTTATGGCATTTTATTAACGGACGTCATTGAAAACCACCACCAGGTGGCTGCACACTGCATTTGGACATTACAACACAAGGATATTGACATTTGTTTGTTTGTTTGTTTTTTAAGATGTTTTGGTATGCATTTTAAAAATCTAAAATAGAGATGTTTAAAAATCTACTACTGTAATCTCTTCTAAAAATGAGTTCCGTATTTCTACGTGTATTCCTGTGTGTGCAATACAACAACATTTGGAAGATCAGAATGTTGAAATTGAGCTTGCTTTAGTTCTGGTGCTGTATATACATCGTGATTGTTGATAACACAAAACAAAAAAACAAAACAAAAACAAAAAACAACAAAAAAAAAAACAAAAACAAAAACCAACATTGACATGGTTCTCTCTGCCATCAGAGGAGTTAAGAGTTTATGTAAAACGGGCTACATTCATTTGTTTGCTATAAGCTATAAGTCATTCTTTTGGACTAGTCCACTATCAACATGTAAGACTAATTTTATTGTAAAGACGAGCAGAGCAGCTTATACTTTGCATTGAGGTACATTTGCCTTTATATCAGTGAATTAAGAAATAAGAGAATGTAGCAAATATGTAATATACGAAAATTCAACGACTATTGTGTAGTGCATGGAGAATGAGGTATTGTAAGATCATAAGATACTATAATGTCTTCTGTTTGATCTGTGGATCATTAACTTGTTTGTCGGAATCTGTTAATGTTGTGCATTCGTCCTGTCCCAAATGTCTCTAATGTTTGTCAACAACTCTTGGAAAGACAGTAGAGAGTCAACGTCCAGTGTATCGAAGCATCAGAGCCTGGTATCTAAGGGGAGGGCAAACCCACGCCTGGTTGCAGAAGTACCCTTATATTTTGTATACCCCCCCGCCCCAGAAAAATATCAAGCCCATTTTTCATAACGTTTGTACTTGTACTTAATGTACGTAGGGTTTCTTCTTTTATTTTGTTCTTGTCATTTCCCCTGTTTTACCAGTTGCGCAGAGAAGGTGAGGATGATGAAGATGATTTATAGTGATTGATTAAGACACCGTAGCCCCCTTTAGTCTGGTGACGTGTCAACCTTATAGCGAGGGCCGATGAGTCTGGAAGTTGTTGGCTTGCAGCATGTGATAATGTGTTGAGAGGACAGTGAAGGACAGCTGGACTGTGTTAAATGTTGGGATGTCTTCCACCGAGGATCAGTGGTCGCCGCACCGCTGCAGGACAACGCCAGTGTCTTTGTCGTCCTTACTGTTTGCTCTTTTCAATTGGTTTGTCTCCTCCTAACTTTTCTAAGAGGAAATATGATTAAAAAATTATTTAGAAGAAATGTATGATGTCAATGCAAAACACCTCTCCTTACATGGTGTGTACCTGTTGCCAGCAAGGCAATGGTTGGCTTAAAATGTTTATGAAATAAATAAATCCAAAAGGTGTGATAATGACTAATTTAAAATCTGTTTTGTGTTTCAATGAGTTTACCAAACGTAAAGATAGATCTTCTTTTAAAGAGAAAACTTATAGGCATTTTACTGCAAATTAAATGTGTTTCTCCTTTCATAATCACCACTTGCAGGCTTGTTCCCAACTTCAGTACTGAGTCCAATGGTGACATCTGGTGGACAAAATATGAGCTTCAGCAGGGATACCAGCGATGATATTGCGATTGTGGCACTTTGAAAGATATTCCATTTTCGTGTGAAGGACGTGTAGTAGTTTAACCAAGCAGTAGAAATGCATTTCTAATTGTTCTCCATGCAACATAGCATAACGATAGGGGCCTTCGTGGATAAGGCGGTAGCTGACAGGCTGAGTGATGTGTCAATCAAACTGACTGACTCGCAGCAGTCGACCACACTTTAGCGTCTGATATTGTAGAGAGCGCAATTGTTTTGATACTGTGAAGACGTCCTTGTGTAGTGTGCCGAAAAAAAGAAGACGCCACCTTTTGGCTGGGACCGGTGGGTGGAGATTCTAAACCAGCATTCTGCGGCTTTTCTGTCGGACATGGTGGTGAATCTGATAGGAAGCGACACGATGCACGCGAGTCTCACAGAAGAAGTACACACCAGAAAACATTCAAGTGTGTAGTATTTTTTCTGCAAACCAAAATGACACTGAGTTGGTAACTTCTACTGCAGTATATTTATACTGCAGTAGAAGTTACCAGTGTTTACCATGCAGAGCAAGAAACATATTCATATCGGTCAACGGACCACAGAAAATCTCAAATCACAAGAGTGATTCAGGTCAGTGTCCACTGTGCACATAGCTGTATAGAGTTCTACAACGATGCAGAAAATATATTCATGGCCATTGAATCATGTTATAGCCTAAGTTTTAACATTTGGTTGCTTTTCTGCATCAATGTGTTTCAGAAACGTGCTGTTCATAGTGCTGAGAAAGGCTGTTGGCATGCCACCTGCTGGATTGTGATGAAAAATCTGTTTGGTGGCGTTGAGGTATTTATATTTTTTATTTTCATGTTTTCCTCACAGAAGGTCATATTTTGTTGTTGCCTTGTCTGCTTATTTTATGTCAAATATGGAAGAATTACGGTAATGCATCAACAAATATGGTACATTGCAAAGTGTGTGTGCTTTTTAGGTTTAGGTTATGGCTTGGGTACTATAGGGTTTTTGTTTGTTTTGTGGGGGGAAAAGGGGAGGTATGTGAATGTTGGTTGGGAAAAAAAGTGCTGAGAAAGGCTGTTGGCATGCCACCTGCTGGATTGTGATGAAAAATCTGTTTGGTGGCGTTGAGGTATTTATATTTTTTATTTTCATGTTTTCCTCACAGAAGGTCATATTTTGTTGTTGCCTTGTCTGCTTATTTTATGTCAAATATGGAAGAATTACGGTAATGCATCAACAAATATGGTACATTGCAAAGTGTGTGTGCTTTTTAGGTTTAGGTTATGGCTTGGGTACTATAGGGTTTTTGTTTGTTTTGTGGGGGTAAAAGGTGAGATATGTGAATGTTGCTTGGTAAAAAAAAAAAGGAGTTGGCTTTAAATGATTGCGACTGTCCCTCGCTATAATACTATACCAGTAAATTCCTGAAC